TTCCGGTTTAAACGGGAAATCGATTCTCACTTCCGGTTGAACTACTTCCGGTGTAATTAATTTAGCACGACGAAACTTATATGAATCGATAGCCAAAGTTATGACAAAAAAACGAAGAATATAAAATCCGGTCCGAAGGTAATACTTTGGTCGCCATTTTGATTTTTCTGAAATGCGTCAGAATCTATTCAGAGATAACGGCTTATCCGATTTTGATGATTTTGGTGTCAAATGAAAGAAAATAATAATTAAAAAAAACTGTGGGAGCCGATTTTTGAATTTCGCTTTTGCTTTTTTGCAATTTCCGATTGAATTTTTTCGAAGTTTGAAGGCTCATATATCATGACCTAGACCTTTGATGACCTTGACCTTTATTGGGTCAAAGGTCATTGACCTTGGCTATCAGCTGATACTTTCATATTCGACCTCCGACATCTACTTCCGTTTTTATGGATGTCTAAAAACAGCCAAATTCGCAAATTTGGACTGCTCTAGCACGTGACCTAATTATCCTAGAGGGTTAATTTTTTCGGATTCTTAATGTGCTCTTCATACTCTTTCTAACGATATATCACAAAAGTTTTTAAAATCAAAATTGAAATTCGTACTTTTTTGATATTTGAGTGTTTTTTACAATATTTTTGTGTTTTTGAGCTTAGTGTATGTATATCTTTTGACCTATTTGATGTAGAAGTTTGAAATTTATAACACTACTAGACATTTTGAAAATGAATTAAATCATGACAAAAAAGTTCAGATGGGCGTGGCACATCCGCGTTAAATTGCTAGTTGTTCAAATCTAGGGCAGGGGCATAACTTGCATAGTCTACATTTGTTCAATAAGGGACCTTGCACACAAATACCTCATCTCTTTGGCCAGTTTGTGTTTAAAGGACAGTTGTTTCAGATTTATAGTTCAAAAAAAGGAACGGGTTTTAGAATTTCGATATTTTCATTTTTTGACATTGACCTTTGATGACCTTAACGTTTGTAGGGTCAATGGTCATTAACCTTGGTTATCTATTTATACTTTCATATTTGATGTCGGACGTAAGCTTCCGGTTTTGTAGTCGTATGCATTTTGAAAGTTTGATGAGTGATATCTCGTGACCTTGACCTTTGGTGACCTTGACCTTTACAGGGTCAAAGGTCATTGACCTTGGCTATCATTTGATAATTTGACATTTGACCTCCGACATGTACTTCCGGTTTTATAGCTGTCCGAAAAAAACAAATTCGCAACTTTGGACTTCTGTAGCACGTGACATAATTAACTTAGAGGATTAATTTTTTCGGTTTCCTAATGTGCTTCTCACGCACCTTACATTGATATATAACAATCGTTTTTTTACAGCAAAATTGAAATTCGTCATTTTTTTTCAAATTTGAGGTTTTTTTTTACAACATTTGTGTCTCTTTGAACTTGGTGTATGTATATCTTATGACCTATTTGATGTAGAACCTTGAAATTTGGAATACATCTAGACACTTTGAATATGAATTCACCTATGACAAATAAATTAATGTGGGCGTGGCACATCCGGGTTGAATTACCAAATGTTTACATTTTTGGGAAGGGGCATAACTTGCATAGAATACATTTGTTCAAAAAGGAACTTTGCACACAATTACACCATCCTTTTGGCCAGTTTGTGTTAACAGCTCAGTTGTTTCAGCTTTATAGTTCCAAAAAAGGAACGGGTTTTAACATTTGGATATTTTCAATTTTCGATTTTGACCTTTGTTGACTTTTGTTGACCTATATCTTTTGACCTGTATTATGTATAACCTTGGCATTTGATACACGACATAACATTTTGAATATTAATTAAATTATATCAAATAAATGAGGTGGGCGTGGCACATCCGGGTTAAATTACTCGTTATTGACATTTTTGGCCAAGGGCATAACTCGCAAAGTATACGTTTGTTCAAAATGGAACTTTGCATACAATTACCTCATGTTTTGAACCACTTTGTCTTAGAAGTTCGGTTGTTTCCGCTTCATAGTTCAAAAAAAGGAACAGGTTTTGGAAATTCAATATTTTCAATTTTCGACCTTGACCTTTGTTGACCTTGACCTTTGTAGGATCAAACGTCATTGGCATTGGCTATCTATTTATACTTTTATATTTGCTAACCTATATCAACTTCCGGTTTTATAGTCGTGTGCAATTAGAAATTTTGATGACGTATATCTCTTGATCTTGACCTTTTTAGACCTTCTCCTTTACAAGATCAAAGGTCATTGACCTTGGCTATCTGCTGATACTTTCATTTGTGAGGTCTGACGTCTACTTCCGGTATTAGAATCTTCTAAAAAATGAAAATTTCTCAACTTTAGACTGTTCTTGCACATGATCTAATTATCGTGGAAGGTTGATTTTTTCGGGGTCTTTTGCAATTTGCTACATTTGCAAAGTCCCACTCTGTGCCACGAGTGGCTCTAGTATTTTTCTTGTTACCAAGTGCATAGTCCTCATAAGGACTACAATTTAATCAAGCAAGGTCAGCCGCATACGAAAGAGACAATTAGAGCAGTTGTGAATGACATGAAAGCAATAGCATTAATATTATTTTACCTTGAATTGGATTCGAATCACCCTACAAGCTACAATCCAACTGTGGCAGTCGACTGATAAGACGGCTTTAAAAACTAGCTAGGGTGTAGGTAGGTCTAGTCATAACATGCTATAGAAATGTCGACCAATCAAGATCTCAGATAAAAAAAATCTGCCAATTCTTAGAAAAGACTGATCTCAACAAAGCTTAGTTCAATCGAAAGGTATTAATCAATTAAAGAGGCGCTGCCAGACATAAAATCTTACTACTGAACTGTTCTTGGGTGTAATAATAAACACGATTTATAAACTAGGCACGAAACATTACTGCAAAGTATGGGGGTTAAAAGGCTAGAAGTTTCAATAGGTCCAAAAGCCATGGGAAATGTTTACAGTTTTATTTATACAATGTATTCATCCCTTTATTGCATGACTATGTCATATGATTATTCAGCTAAAACAGCTATAATAGCTTTACAAACAGTATACAATATGGTCTGTTTGGCTTGAATATTATGCTAATAAATAAATTGTCATACTCACAAACATAAAACATGTCATACAGAAAACATGTCATACTCACAAACATAAAACATGTCATACTCACAAATATGTCATACTCACAAACATAAAACATGTCATACTCACAAACATAGAATATGTCATACTCACAAACATTAAACATGTCATACTCACAAACATGTCATACTCACAAAGATTAAACATGTCATACTTACATACATTAAAAATGTCATATTCACAAACATGTCAGACTCTCAAACATAAAACATGTCATACTCACAAACATAAAACATGTCATACTCACAAACATAAAACATGTCATACTCACAAACATAAAACATGTCATACAGAAAACATGTCATGCTCACAAACATAAAACATGTCATACTCACAAACATAAAACATGTCATACTCACAAACATGTCATACTCACAAACATAAAACATGTCATACTCACAAACATGTCATACTCACAAACATAAAACATGTCATACTCACAAACATGTCATACTCAGAAACATAAAACATGTCATACTCACAAACATAAGACATGTCATACTCACAAACATAAAACATGTCATACTCACAAACATAAAACATGTCATACAGAAAACATGTCATACTCACAAACATAAAACATGTCATACTCACAAACATGTCATACTCACAAACATAAAACATGTCATACTCACAAACATGTCACACTCACAAACATAAAACATGTCATACTCACAAACATGTCATACTCACAAACATTAAACATGTCATACAAACATGTCATACTCACAAACATAGAACATGTCATACTAACACACATTAAACATGTCATACTCACACACATAAAACATGTCATGCTCACACACATAAAACATGTCATACTCACAGACATAGAACATGTCATACTCACAAACAAAACATGTCATACTCACATACATTAAAAATGTCATATTCACAAACATGTCAGACTCTCAAACATAAAACATGTCATACTCACAAACATAAAACATGTCATACTCACAAACATAAAACATGTCATACTCACAAACATAAAACATGTCATACTCACAAACATAAAACATGTCATACTCACAAACATAAAACATGTCATACTCACAAACATGTCATACAAACATAAAACATGTCATACATAAAACATGTCATACTCACAAACATAAAACATGTCATACTCACAAACATGTCAAGTAGTATATGAGCTTATATATTGGTCGCACGGGAATTTCCCATTCCATTTCATTTCATGGGGAAAATGCGACCAATATATAAGCTCCCAAAAAAGACCTAAACTCCCTACATTTCATAAATTCTTACAGCAAAACACCCACATTTCATAAAATTCTTGCACTAAAAAATACCCTTCATTTCATAAATTATTTCACTAAAAAAAAGACTCCCTAAACTCCCTATACACCAAAAAACACCTTCAATCAATTTCCTACATTCCATCAAAAAAAAGCATATTAAAAATACCCTTATATAAAAATAACATCCGGTTTTAAATAATGTTATTTTTAGTTTAGAAACTTCTAGAAAAGGGAGATAACTCTTGTTTTTTGGAAACACAATTTCTTCGTTAAATTAACTCATTTAAAAATAGGATGAGTTTAATTCTAAAACACGAACAACACAGATTTGAAGATTATTTGGGCGACGGTATCTTTTCATCAATATTTTCTCTAGGTAAAACAATAATTCCAAAAGTAGCTAGCTTTGTTTCAAACAACAAATCACTCATTTCAACCGGAGCGAAAGCCGTCGGCTCAATCGCGCAAGCGGAAAGAGTATAAGCGACGCAGTGAAACAATCTGACGAGTTGAAAGAATTACAACTAATAAGAGAACTGCGAAACAGGAGATTAGAAGAAAGGAAAGGAAAAGGTTTTGAAGTTATAGGATAAAAATGATAGTCGCTCACGCTCCAAAATTTTATTTCGGTTCAGGAGATATACAAAAATCATTGGGTTCTCTTCCTGGATTTCCATGGGCGAAATATCCCGGAGAAAAACATCTTCCCGGTCATAATTACACTGGTCCAGGTACTAGGTTAGATCTGCGATTAGACGAAAACGATAAACCCAAACCGGGGGAAGAACCAGTCAATAGAGTTGACGCCGCTGCGCTTAAACACGACATACTATACAGAAATAAAGACATAAACTTCAGACACGAAGCAGACAGACAAATGATAATCGTACTTGAAAATATTCCAAATCCAACTTTCAAAGAGAGAATGCAAAGAGCATTAATCATAAAACTGTTAAAAGCAAAGATGAAATTAGGCATGGGATTAGCGGATGAAATTCATAAAGAATTCAGAAAAACTAAAAACTTTTTAAAAGTCAAGGTGTTTGAAAAAGATGAAATATGGTCAGCCGATTTAATTCATATGCCAGTCGAAAGAGGATTTAAATATTGCTTAAGAGTTATAGATTTATATACGAGATATGTATGGGTTATTCCTTTGAAAAACAAAACGGGATTATCAGTCAAACACGCATTTGAAACGATTATGAAACAATCTAACCGACATCCAGAAAAACTGTGGGTAGATAAAGTGAATTTTATAACAAAAATATGAAATCTCTGGGATTTGAAATTTACAGTACGCATAATGAAGGTAAAGCTGTAGTTATTGAGAGATATAATAGAACTCTAAAAAATAAATTATTTAAAAAGTTCACGGAATTGAAATCTTAAAAATGGCTTAAAATATTACCAGAGGTTGTAGATGAATACAATAACAAAATTCATTCATCTATAGGTGTCACACCAACACAAGCCTCGACTAATCCAAATATTATAAAGTCAATTAACGCGCAACATAACTATGAAAATGAAATAAAGAATTTAAATATCAAACCCAAATTTAAAGTCGGAGATGAGTTCGTATTTTCAAATATAAAAGCAAATTTGAAAAAGGTTACGTTGGATACTGGACAAACGACATATTTATCGTTGATAAAGTAAACACTACATCACCTCCGACATATGAATTAATCGATCAAGACAAAGAACAAATCATAGGAAGGTTTTATCAAAATGAACTTCAAAAAACCGACTTTTAAAAATGAATATCTTTCTCCATAAATATGGAACCGATACAACCACAAACTTTCAACTTATGAGATGGGCGAATGAGTTAAATATATCACCGTTTTATTATTGTATGAGAGATGAAATAAACGATCTGAAATATAAGAAAGGTAAATTTTACGCGATAACAAATATACATACTTCTGATCAAAAAGGAGTTCATCATTCTGCTTTGTACAAAGACTCTTCAAATGACTTATATTTCTTCAATTCTTATGGATTAGAACCCACTGAAGAGATAATCCAATTGACTAATAAACCAATCAAATGTTCTTCCTTTCAAATTCAATTACCGGGACAAAAGTTTTGTGGTCAGCTTTCACTTTGGGTTTTATATCAGTTGAGTTTAGGAAAACAGTTCGAAGAAATTGTAATAAATTTAACTCAATAAAAATGGCGAACAAGTTTGGATTAGGTTCTTTATCTTTAGAAACTAAAAAACCTAACACTACAGCGTGGATAAATAAAGCGAAAGCGTGGATCAAATCGGAGACACTCTTCAAGGTGATATAGATATGAACGATTTCAAAGTAACTAATTTAAAGTCTCCGGAAAACGATAATGACGCCGTTCACAAGAAATATTTACGGGATCAAATAAATTCAGTTGAAGTAAATAAAAACCATTTTGAAGATAAAATAAGTAATGTGAAAAGATTCTTCAAACGTCAACTAAATAATAAAATTTTTATTAATGATACTAAACTACAACAAGAGGTAAAAGGTTTAATAACTTTTATTCAAAAACAATTAGTCAACGTAGCGAATAAAACTGAGTTACAAAATTTAATTTCATTAATATCTAAATTAGAGGATAGAGGATAAGATTACAAAACAAAAATTAGACATTCAACAATTAACAGATAACTTTCCAGATGAAACTGAAGATACGTTTCAACAGGAATTAAATGCTCTGGAAACTAAACTTAACAGTGAATTACAAAAAGAACTAACAAAATATTAAACAACAAATACAAAACATAGACGATAGTGAAATCAAAACATATATTCAACAACAAATACAAAACATTGATGATAGCGAAATTAAAACCATTATTCAACAACAAATACAAAATATTGATGATAGTGTTATTCAACAACAGATAACTACTATTAATAACCTAGTTTTGAAACAGGACAAAAATATAGTCGCATTAGAAAAAAAGTTTCTCAAGAAAGAATCATATTATTTCAATCTTCCATTTGGAAATTTGAGTGATAAAGATGCTTCTATTACTAATAATATTGATAGATCAAAAGAGTATGAATATAAAAAATATGGATTAACAGCAAATATAAGAGTATTTTCTATTACAGATTATAGTAACCCCCTATACATAATTAGTAAGCAAGTAACGGATTTCTTTTTTTTTCCAAGGAAAAATTCTAATTGTAATTATTTTTCCTATACAGGTAAAAGTTGAAACAATATTCTTCATACAAAACTTACATTTATCTAATCAATTTAACGCTCGTAAAGTTCTTCAGTTTATCAATGGTACAGAAAATGTAGAAACTAAAGAATTAGAAATTAACGACGAAAACAGCAAGTCTGGGCGCTTATATAAAATTAAAACGAGTGGAAAATATATAGATAGGTTTAGAATGTTAATCATACCAGATAAAGAAGATGTTCTTTCATTGGGTAAATTTGATATGATATTGGAGACGGAAAGTCCACCATCAGTAAGTATTAGTAGAAATCCAGAACCAAAAAAAGTAGAAGGATTGCCAATCACTTATCAGTTTTTACGAGTAACAGACTTTGAATAAGTAAAACTATATTTTGTTAATAATAGTTATTCACACGAAGATAGCTCTTCAACTGATTTATTTACCTCAATCGATATTCATAAAAGTCAACAAGATAAAAAATTTTTAATATTTTCATCAATAATTGAACGAAATGATGGAATAGAAATTGGAGGTATATATACCTGTAGATGTATGATAAAATTCAATATCGAAAAACCAAAATTTTCAGTTCATCTGAATAAGATTAATGATTCGAAAGAACAAATATCCTTAGTAAGTGTAGAAGTTTATATTTACAAACCTGAAATAATTATAACAGATATTGAAAAATAGTCCCTGGTGGAGCTCTTATTGGGCATCCTATTGTAGATATTAAACACTTTCCATCTTTTGCTTTATCAGAAGTTCACTTAATTTAATTACCCAAAAAATGGAACTAGAAAGTAGACAACAATATATGATAGAAAAACAAAACGAACTAAAAGAAAAACTAAAACAATTCAACAAATGTAGAAAAACATGGAGTAGAATAGATTCTGTTTTCAAAACATTAAGTACAGTTTTAACAGTAGGGATAACGGTGGCAACAGCCGTAACCGGTGGATTAATGCTTCCAATAATTGTCCCATCTGTATTAGCCGCGTTCACTGCCGTTCAAACTTCATCTTGTGGATTTATTACTTTAGGTTTTACATCAAAAAAGAAAGCTTATTATAAAAAGAAAACAGAAATTTTAAATACATATCTTAATAAATTATTCATTTTTTTCGAAAGATCGAGAGAAGATAAGAACATAACAGTTGAAGAATTAGAAACAATTGAAATTTTAGACGATGAAAAATTCATATCAAATGAACTTTTTTCCAATGTTATTAAGCTTATCACTGATGAATTTTTAACATTTAAAGGGCAAATTGAAGTAGATGGAGAGATAATTCAAGATGGAGGACACAAACAATACATGCAATTTGTAGGTTTTAATGCCAAAACTTTTCGCAATTTCTTCGCAACAGTGGATAATAAATCGGATGCTTCTGATTGGTATTTCACAGGAAAAATGATTTTACGTAAAAACAATTTCAAAGAAATAAAAAGATCAAAAAAGGGTAGTGGTGTTACCCTACTCAAAAAGATAAATGAATATATCGGTATAAATTGTTATATACCGAGCGATGGATACTGCTTTGTAAAGTGCGTTAATCGTGTTTTAAACGAAGACTACACGAGAGAATTTCAAGATTTCATCAACAGTTTTTCAAAATCAAACAGAAAAGGTGTTATGACAACTGCTAGAATCTGTGAATTCAATAAGAAATTTAATACTAATTTTCAAATTTATATGCCCAAACATAGACATGTTCAACCAAAGAAAGTATCCGAGGAATTAGATTGGGTATTTTACTTACATAAATCACATTTCTGTCTCATTAGAAGAAATACCAAAACCTTAAGCATTACAGAAATAGAAGATAATTACGATGAAAACGTATGGAGAACTTGTAGAGATGATAATGCGATAACGCAAATTTCACCTCTAAAACTAAACGTTTTTCCAACCATTCACGATGATTGTTTATACGCATGGAATTGCGAAACCTATAGCGAAAAAAAGGCGACAGATTTAAAGGCGACAGATTTTATAATAAATTAATGAATATAGTAGAAATATTTGTAGGTACAGATTGTATCGATCAAATGTTACAACGTTTAGGAAAAATAGATCAAAAAAGAATAACATTAATTGCTCATTACGGTAGTGGTTTTGATAACTGGATCATGATCAAAAACGTAAAAGAACTAACACAATGCCCTTTAAAAACAGCCAGAGGAATTCTGTCTCTACCTTTAACTAATTCATTCACCGATGAAGATTTACAGAAAAAATGGAAAAGACAGAAAGAAATAAAGGGTAACTCTAATTATTTCCAAGATATTAATTTCATATGGGGTAATTCATATAATCTACCAATGAATTTGAGAAAGATCGAGGATGTAGACATTGCAAAATACACCAAAGATAATTGGGAACCTTTAAGACACAAATGGGAACTTACGCTTAAAGAGATACGTTATGTCTCGGAGCTTGTTTGATAAAATACAATCAAGCAATGAAAGAAGTTG